TTTTTTCTTAAGTAACTAAGATTGGGAATTTATAAAAGGATTAGTTACTTGTATTTTCATTATACTTATTAATGAGAATGTCCTATCCTACCTGTTCGGCTAACGACCCTCCACTAGTCAAGAGTGCGGTGGGTAAAAGTATATACCCAATGGCGGTCATTTTATAGGCCGCTTCCTTAAACACCCCTTATAGACCAGCTTCGTGAATGAGGTATACTAACGGTAAAACTGACTTTTAACTTATACATATATAATATATTAGACTTTTAATTTTATATAGTATAAGGGCGTATTTTAAACCTTTAAAATAGTAGGAGGTTTAATCTTTTAAATAAATTAGACTTTTAATTTAATTAAAACTTTAAACCATTCTATTATGGATTTATTAATACTCTTTTAATTAATTATCAACAAAGCCATAATTATTCCTTCCAGTTGTGTCCATTTAAATTTCCAAAATTAAAACATTTAATTCTAAATTTAAATTATGAAACCAAAAGGATGTATTTTAAACATTTAAAATACTTAGGTTTTAGAATTTAATATTTCACAATTAAACTTTTAATCAAATTTTAAATTCCAAAACTTGAGGGCGAGTTTTTGAAACTTTTCAAAACCTCTTGGATCAATTTGAAAACAATTAAATTAATCATATGATTTATCTATATCACAAAATTGACCTAATATAATTTCATATAGCAAGATGATTCAAATTAAATTCTACAAATAATTATTTTTTCACAAAATCAAGTAATTATCTTAAAATTTGACAATCATCATTCAATAGGATGAGGATAATCATTACCTTATTAGAAAAATCGAATTTTATCAGTCAAAACAGTTTGTGGTAATGATCCTAATCCAAACCTGGCCAAAAACTCGAAAAATCTGCCAACAGATGATCAAACTCATCAAGTCAGGGCATGCACTCGTCGAGTTCATCACCGGATGATCCAACTCATCGAGGTCCCTCATGGGACTCGCCGAGTCCAGCTGTCAGAGGCAAAAAATGAAACTTTTTTAGCTTTGAAAACAATACAATTTCATCAATATAACAGAAAGCACCCTAGACTCTGATACCACTGATGGGTTTTGAGCACTATAACAATCCAATGGTGCACATACAACCCTAATGCTTTGGATCTAAGTTTTCTCAAGTTACACATGCATTTTCATTTCATCCAAAGCATAAACCCTAACTAGCATACAATTGGAGATTTACAACATAAAATCTAGTTTGATGAATACTTCTTAGTTGTAGCTTGTAATTCTTGGCCTTTCAAGAGCTTAGTACCTCAAATGTGATACCTGTAATAAGTCACAAACACCAAAAGCAAATGGAGGAATATGAGAAAGAGGCTAAGAGGTACCAAACGACTAGGGTTACCTTTTCGAACACAAGTGCCGATTTTAGGAGTACAAGGGTTAGTATTTATAGTGTGGAATCCCTAGGGTCTCATCTTGGAAACCCTAATTCATATGATTAGGCCTTAATCAATCCAATAACCCATATGATAGGCCCTTTGGACTAAATCTTCATGGACTCTCACATAGATTTAGTCCCTCCTTAATCAATCATGGATCATTAGCCCAAACTATAAGTATTGCTGATTTTCTTAACCAGTCCCCGCTAATTTAAGCAGTCTCTTTTGATCACTAAATTAATTCCAAATTAATTCTTGATCAATAAAAATTAAATAATATGATTTCTCAATTAATATATTATTCATATAATATATTAATAAATTACAAATAACCTCTTTCTCAAAAATCCATCCTATCAAATTGCTATGGTGAAGGCAACCCAAAAGTACCATGCTACTATCAGGTCAAGTACATACTAGTTATAGTTATGGGCTTAGACAACTAATCCAACAGCAAAAGCATAAGAAAATACCGACATCCGATCCAAATCGCACCCTCCTTGCCTGTAATATCAACCGACAATCTGATACCTGTCATGCCTATATGCCAAGAACACGGACCCATGATTGCATCACAAAGCACCCATAACACATCAATCCACCTGCGCACTCCTATGCTGACATACTGTCGCCAAACCTCGCGACTAATAGACCCCAAGCTGGGCTTACATCTCAAGTTTTAAAGTCACAAGCCTGCTCACTCCTTCCCCAAACTCGGAAACCTGAAAGGGCAAAATCCTCATCATAGATAGCGACATACCACACCATTAATCAACCAGTCTACTCCCAACTGTAATCCCCAAACCGATTTTGCCACTGGGGACGAACCACTACCAGACCCATCCTCATGCCTGAGCAACCATAACCAAAGATCAAAAGATACAGAGCTACTGTCATGAATCATGGTATCAAACCATGCTATCCCTCCCGACCAGCCCTTAGAATCCCCAAAACTTTCCTTGATTCGAGTATGGATCACGTGCTTCTAGTAGTACAGGCTCAATACTACCTTCCACACCTACCCATACTTTCCTCAAGGATCATCTCGGGTCCTCCAAGACCTACTCACAATAATACTCCAAATACCTGCTCAACAACGAAACAACCACACTAAAATACTTCCTAGGCTCTCCTAGAGATTCCCCCACCTCCCCTCTTTTACACTCCATTCTTTCTCCTATCTCTAGAACCAACCCATACATGGAGCAGAGGCATGGTTTCTTGTTTTGACCATCTCTTACACACATCATGTTGTTGGGAAGTCTTTGTTTCATTTAATGAAAGCATGGTCTTCAACTAATATGTGTATGTATATAAAGAAGAGAGAATGCTTGCATTTAGTCACTTCTTCATCTTCTTTATGTTACAAACCCGAGATCATCCGTAGTTCATCCCTTCCCTTCTCTTGGAAAGTGTTGTGTAGATTTGAGTGCTTTAGTTGCTTCTCCTTTTAAGAATAATTTGGTATTAGTTCTATAAAATTTAAGAAGTACTAATTACAAATGAAGACTAGTATCTTTTGTGGCTTAAAGACTTGCTAGTGGATAAACATAGAGATGCTCAACTTTGACTATTTTCCTCCTTCATCCACTTCCTAGCCTCCCTTAAGGATTTAAAGTCAACAAAGTTTATTTATCTTTTACCTCTATGGTTGTTTTTATCTTTCCATTTATAGCAAGATGATCCTTGCCGGAAAATGAACTAGTTTATGATATTCATTTTAAAATGCTTCCATTACTAAACTCAAGTTTTTTAAACTAATTTGGCATCTCGGTCTAAAACAGAGCAAACCTGTTACTTTAAGCCATTTGATCTCCCTAATATCATTACCACTTTTATTATGAAGATTAGTTATTATTAATCATGCCCACAAAATATGAAAAATATCAATCTTTAAGTGTATTACTATAATTAGTAGTATGGTACCATGATTGAAGAGTAACAATGGGAATCTACTTGTCAATATTATATGATCCATTTGTACATACTTATCATATATGCTTGAAAAAGAGGAAAATTGAATTAATCATATAGGGTAAATCGCTTGGTTCCTCCAAATCAACAAAATTGGTTCTCATATTTATAGTCCCGGTACCTTAGGATTAAGGGAAATTCAGTATCGATACCAACTTTGATCTCATACCTCTCTCATATAAGATTAAAATGAGCTAATTTTTCATACATATTATCCTTTTTGTTGGATACAAGTTAGGCTATGAAATCACCTTAATTAGATTAGTATTGAGTGTGTTATATAATGCTTTAAACATGGGATGTTATTGTTGTTTTTTCAACAATTATAATTTTATGTATAATTTTTCATTATCTTTGAACAATCACCTTAATTATACTAGTATTGGATGAGGTATGAGATGATTTTCCAAGAAAAAACCGTTGGCAATGGATGTGTGAGTCGCTATCAACTATAACTACAAAGGATGGGATAGGATTAACTGTGGGGTAAAGAAAATTTGCAACCCTTGATAATGTTATATGTACTCCCCAAGTCAATAAGGATACTCACGACGTAACTATATTACTACAACCATATATCTATACTGCTCTTGTGAGTGTGGTACCAAGACGGTACCAAACCGAAAGTACCGAAAAACAAATTGTCCAAATTGAGGGTATCAAATCCCGAACCAAAAGGTAAGTAACATAGACGGGAGACAAATTGGTGAAAAATGAGGGAATATTTCATGGATCATTATTTTTGGGGTTATTAGCACCGACAACATTTGTCGGTGAATGGGTCACTGGTTAAAGTCATGTACGAATGAAACCCTAACCAATGGATGGACGCTCCTAACCAATGGATGGCTTTAGCGTCGATGCCATTAACAGCGACACCATCTATAGTAGTGACATGAAACCCGAACATCTCAATGTCACCACTAATAGTGTCGCCGATATTAGCCCCATATTTCTAATATTTCTAGTAGTTATTACTCCTGGTAGATGTTAATAGGTGAAGGTTTTTGAAACCACTAATTACATTTCAATTTTTGATCTCCGGCAAATGCGTGCGGGTTCTCATCACTTCAACATCTTCCGCTCATATTCGTTTGCTATTACATGTCGTCACTGCAATGGTTCTGTTATTCTCTTGGTCCTACTTATTTCTTGGGTTTCATGTTATATATACTTTAATTAGTTTCTAATGTTGTTTTCATTTCTTTCTATGGACGTAGTTGCATTCTTGTAGTGTTGCTACCATCTCGACATCCAGTACCACCGGTACTGACCACTACATAAAAAAATATAAGCATTATATTTATAAATGATAATGTATCAACACCATATATATTAACTGTTTAATTTTCCAAGCAAGGACTACTGTCTAAAATGCATGCAATCATGTTCCAAACACACCACACCATATACCACCCGTGGTTAACATCGCCATAATTTCCATACAACTTCAAATTATACACGACTATTTCAAAACACCAACAAAAACAACAGTATCCAAATTTAACGCAAACATATTAACCCGAACCTATGCGCACACCGCGACAAAAGTGTCAACTATTATATATCCCATAATCGCACACTTGAAGATCACACTAGGCTTCACTTGCGATGCGTTTCTTTCTTAAGTTGCACACGATACACTCCTTTAGCTTCCCCAAGATCTTCGTCAAAACCTCCAACGTCATTGAATGTTTGACCAGTCATCTGATCAGCTTTTCTCAGTGCCTCCGCCGTGTCCTCAGTCATCCTCACCACATCATCACGCTTCCCACTGCACATTTCACACACATTAATGAACACCTACAAAGGGAATTATAAAAACAACACTGAAATTATATACGTCCAGAATTTAATCTTATATATATACCCTCCAGAAATGTCAACACCAGTTCCCCTCGCCTCATATCCTTGATCTTTCAGATGCATAGTCTCCATCTTTCTCCTTGCATCTTCCTCCGTCTCCGTTAACGTCCCCTATGAACAGACAAAGTCAAATTTGAGTCATTTTCTAGTTGAACCTTCAAAAACAACGTAGAATTACACCAACCTTTGTAGCTTCACTAGTTTCAGTCATCTTTTCTTTAGCCTCATCCTTCTTGCCGGTGAAAAAGTCCATAGCTTTCCTTGCAATACCTGTAGCTGAATCCTTCACTTCAGTCATTTTCCCTACAGCAGTATCCTTCCCTTCAGTTGCCTTATCGGCGGTGTAATCCTTTGCAGCCACTGCTGTATCAGCGGTGTAATCTTTTGCGTTACCCATCTTCTCCATTGTTGCATCCTTGGCTTCTTTTGCCTTCTCAGTGGTATAATCTTTTGCTGCTATGGCTTTATCAGCAGTATAATCTTTTGCTTCTTTGGCCTTCTGAGCAGTTGCGTCAGCGGTTTCTTTTGTTTTCTCAGCAGCATAATCTTTGTACTCCCCCATCTTCCCCATTGTAGTGTCCTTCGCTTCTTTCGTTTTCTGGGCAGCAGAGTCAGCGGTTTGTTTTGCTTTCTGTGCAGTTGCATCGGCTGTTTCTTTTGTTTTCTCAGCAGCGTAATCTTTGTACTCCGCCATCTTCCCCATTGTAGTGTCCTTCGCTTCTTTCGTTTTCTGTGCAGCCGAGTCGGCGGTTTCTTTTGCTTTATGTGCAGTGTAGTCTTTATACTCGCCGGCTTTCCCCATTGTTGTATCCTTGGCTTCTTTTGCTTTTTGAGCGGCGGAATCCTTGTACTCCTCCGCCTTTCGTGTTGTTTCTTCTCTGTTTTGTCTTTCTCTCTCTGCAGCTTCGCCGGAGACCACTGACGCCTTCTCGGTGGCTTCATGAGTTTTTCCGATCACTGCATCTTTGGCGCTTCCGAAGGTGCCGGTAACCGTTTGAAATATGCTTCCAATAATACCGGGACGGTTCTGGTCAGATGGTGTCTCATGGTGCTCGATAACAACTTCCCCTGCGCCACCGCCAACTCCTCTTTGTTTGTTGACGTCTCGGAGCTCATCTGCGGCGGTCCTGGCAGCCTCCTCCGCCCTCACTTCCTTTCCGGTTATATCTTCTCTTGCCCTGATGGGATCCTTTTGTGAAGCCATTTGATGTCAAGATCAATGTATTGCACTCGAAACTTCGATTGAATATCAAAAGAAACTCGATTGGAAGATAGAATCTGTGAGTTGTGAGTGGAACAAAAGGATATATATATATAAGGTGGTTAATAGATGAAAATCCTTTATTGTTGTAAAGGGTGAGACGTGCTGGGTGGTGGTGTTTATGGCATCTGTGAGACTGTGTATGTGTATATGTTGAACGGAAGACACGTGGCCTGGAAATGGACACGCGTAATTCAAGCAGGATTCATGCATGTCGCCGACTACAATAACGCCGTTGATAACATAAACTTTCGTTAAGATAATTTTCATCTGGCCTATCTTAATATTAATAATATATTAATACTAGTTGTGAGATAATATATTTAAAAAAAAAAATTAAACATAAATTTAAAATATTTGAAAATTTTGAATTTATAATAAAATAAAAAAATAATGAATTACTATAATAGAAATGTCTTTTATCTTTTAAATTTAAACAAATAATTTAAATAAATAAAAAAAAAGAAATTAATGAATTTTAATTTTGGAAATTTTAAAATTAAAAGATTAGTTCATTAATAAAATTGATATTCAATTATTATTAGATTTATTGTAATTATTACATTAAAATATTATGTGGAATTTAATAAAATAGAAAAACTCATAAAATGATATGTGGGAAAAAAATTTAAAATAACAACAAAATGACATTTGACAAATTATATGAGAGTGTGACAAATGAAAAAAAAAACATGCATTTATTAGAGCAGATAAGGTGGTCGGGTGGTTGAATGAGGTTAAAAGGACTAATTTATATAAACGGGATTAAGATACGTGTAGACCGAGACTGTTAATTGGAATAAAATTTATTTTTTAAAAGTTAAATATTATTTACACCTTAACAAATTAGGGGTGAAATTGGTACGGTACCGAGTTTTTTGTCTTCAAACCGTGTACCGTACCAACTATAGTTGGTATAAGATTTTAGCTACCAGTACCGTACCAAGTGTACTTGGTACCAATTAATTTGGCTACCAACAAATTTGGTTGTTATATATTGGTATTTGGTATATACCAAAATTTTTAACTAATATGTACTATACATGAATATAAGTTGAATTTGTGGACATTTGGCCGTTGCTTCACTTGCTTCCGGAGGTATTTTTTTTGGAAACCACTAAAAGGATTAAAAGATGTCCACCCCTAGCAAGTTGGTAGAGGAAACAAATGGTAAGAGTACAAGTACAAGGAATGAGAAGTTAGTATTCCTTTTTAAATTTTAGTGTATGTATCAATGATATCGTGCACATCAAACAATAACTATCAAGAAATTTGCCGGTTAATGTGTAAGTTTAGTAATTCTAAGACTTGTTAGTTGTTATTCTAATTAAAACATGAAGATATGAGAACTCATATTTCTTTGTATTTATGAATTGATATATATATATATATATATATATATATATATATATATATATATATTATATATATATATATATATATATATAAGTTGGTACGGTACAACCGTGGTATTCAAAATTTCATACAGTTACCGTACCAAGACTACTTAATTGGCATGGTATTACCAGCCAAACATATTGGCTACCAAACAACTTGGCTACCGACTTAATTGGTTCGGTTGGTAACATGTTGGTTGGTTCTCTGTCGTACATATTTGTCAGCCCTAGTGACAAATGAAAAAAAAAACATGCATTTATTAGAGTAGATAAGGTGGTCGGATGGTTGAATGAGGTTAAAAGAACTAATTGGTATAAACGGGATTAACGTGCGTGTAGACCGAGACTGTTAATTGGAATAAAATTTATTTTTTAAAAGTTAAATATTATCTACACCTTAACAAAATAAGTAAATAACTATACAAATTTGAAATATATATATATATATATATATATATATATATATATATATATATATATAAATTTTTACTGTCTGACTTTTTTATTGGCTTAGACCGCCTAGGAGAGCAAACAACTGCCCGACTCCGCCTAACTCGACCGACTAACATTAATCATAGACAGTAAGTGACCGACTAGTGCCTAGATGGCCGCGCCTACGCTGATTTTTACGATACTAATTATATATACATATAAATTTAGAACCCGCTTTGTGAATAGTAAAAAGGGGTCCTTTTCACTTTAGCCCATGGACTTTATATCTTTCTATGATTTGTCGAATTTTATCATTGGTCAATTTTTGTTAATAATTTCGTCAATTACTGGTCAATGGTGCTTCTCAATTTTAAATTGTTTTATTTATCTGAGTCATTGGTTGGAGAACGTTCCAATTGCTACGTGTTTCTTTCTTGCTCCACCTTATTTTTTTTATCTAATGGAAACCATTAGAAAAAACCAGCATCTCCACCGCCTTTGACTCCATCTTCACCACACCATGCCATTTATCTCTCCCAAAACGTCCAACTTGTCGTCGCCTTCATCGCTACCACCGTCGATGGATCTCTTTCCAGAAAATCTTTACAAGATTCAAATCCCCAAACTGTACTGCAATGAATAACCCATGTTCCTCTTCCACTCTATCTTTTGGTTCATAAATCGATCAACCGACATCAACAGAGTTCAATTCTGGTGCAGATGATCTTTCATCACCCAAGAATTACATCATTTGGGTTCGTTCTTCCCCTTTTCATTGTCACTTCCAAAGCAAATTCATTAACAGATGTTTGTTTCTTTCTACCTTATTCTTTGCTTAAAGTAGACGATAAGTGTTGCATCCTTTTCGGGTTTAATTATTATGATTTCTGGTGGCAAACTCGGGAATTCAAAGATCTTGACTCCAAAAACCCTATTTTGTACCTCCATTTTTCCCTAGATTTGTTTGCTTCATCTATTCATTTGCTTCATTTTGTGCTTATGAATTCGATCTGGATAATATTGCAGGTTGAAAGTTGTTACAGTTTATGATACTTAATACTATAGTTCTCTAAAAAGCTTAGAAGAACGTGAGGTAATTTTGAGATTTTGTGTTTTTTTTTAATTTTTTTGTTCTCATTTTCATTTTTCTTTCCATAATGGCACACACAATCATGGAAATTGTGGTTTAACCTTTAGGGATCAACAGATTTTGTTTGCAGATCATGGAAATTAAGGAGGCGGTGGAAGACTCAATTTGAATGATGATGGTTAAAGCTAATATGCATTATTTGTGATATAGTCTAATGAATATTATATTTTTATTGCATAAAGTTGATGAAAGAAGTTGAAGAGCTTAAGGGATCACATTCAAAGCAGATTACAAACATGAATCTGCTACAACAAGTACTGGTACACTTAAAAATCATAAACAATTTCTTAGATATTTTATTTGTCTTATTTCTATAAATTTATGTGATTTTGGCTATACTCAGGACAAATCAAAACTAGAAACCCAACAGCTCAAAAACCAAGATAGATGTTTTGGAATCTGGATCATGCTTTGTTGGAGTAGATTCTGATAATAGGCTACAAAGCAAAAAACATTCAAAAAATTTCAACTCAGTGTTCATTGTTGCTAGATATGATGGGTCTTCATGGTTGGCATGTCTAGATTCATATTACCCATCTTATTATGTTAGAATCCCATTCAGACCAATGAATATAGTAAAGAAATACGGATCAGCATCAAAGGTAATGATTATTAATCTTCTTAAGTTGTTACATATTATAAAACTTATAAATTATAACCATATTTTTGTTTACTGGTCGTTGAATCATTCGTCTCGACAATAAATCAGTGGGTTTTAAGACCACCTTTATATTGAAACAACGTCCATGTTGCGGATGCTGCAGTTAACAACAAACTTTTTGTGGCTAGTGGTAATAAAGAAAGTCATATTTCGTCTTAGGTGAAATATCTTGATCTCAACAATGGCAAGTGGCTCCCCATTCATTCCATGAATAACAAGGTACTTTTACTGTTACATTCATATTTAGTAAAATGTCACTTCAGTTTGCTCTAAAGTTCATTTATTGTTTTTTTTGTTAGAGGTCAACAGTTTAAGAGGATGCTAAACATAAATGAATACTCTTTTATGTGATTTAGTTCTATTGAAATGCTTGATCCACGTGAAGACAAATGGTTAAAAATTCCAGATATGAACAAAAGGAAGGGTTGCCATTAAATGACAATGGTTCTACTGAAAAATGAATGTCTGTAGAGGCAATTTTGGTGCTTTTGTGATTGGAGAAACACTGTACACAATTGGCAGATCCACGAAAAAGAATCACGTTTTGGACGTTGTATGTATATGTAAACCATGACTTTGACTTTTTTCCTAACTATTTTCCCATTTGTGTTTTGACTTGCATTCTCATTATTTAATTTTTTTGGCAGGTGGAATGTTACAAAGATGGTAGTGGTTGGGAGGTTTATAATATAAAAGCAATTGTGAAAATAAGTCATTTTTTAGCAATTGTGTTGTGAATGTGAGTTTTATGAACAAAAAATATCTCTCTCTAAATACCACATATATAGTTTTATGAAATTGAATTATATTAACCTATTTTTTTATTACAATGTTTAAATTTAATTTTATTTTCTATTTTAGATATTGTACTTTGAGATTATCTATCCAATTATAACATTGTACTTAAAAGATCTACCCACATATATAAATAAATCAAAGTAGAATGATATAATAAACATATCAATGTAAGCACGTTTGTTTGTTTTTTTTTTCAGGTTTATAACGCTCTTAATTTTGCTGTTGATGGAATAACTACATAATTAATCAAATCTTTTTATCTTATTTTGCAATTAAACATTTCTCTAAATATTGTTATCCTGTGAAGTAGCTAAGGTGGACTAATTATTAGATCTTACCTATGTTTAATATTACAAGTTTTAGACAAGTACCAAATACCATTGTACATGTGGCTAATAGTGGTATTTAAAAACCCTAGCTAAATAGCATTGGTATAGGGGAATGTAACTGATTTCGTGAGTTGAATACACATAATAGGAAACAAATTATTACAAAAAACAGGTTA